CTGATTTCTTTCTCCACTTCTAGGTTGTTGCTGCAGCTGACCACTGATGCCCATGCGGCTGAGACCAGCATGGCCTTTGGCTCGTCTCTGAAGAGTTGTCGACATCTGCTGGAGGTAGCCAAGGATCAGGGTGTGCAGGTGGTGGGGGTGACCTTCACCATTCCCAGCTCCTGCTCAGACCTCCAGCAGGCTTACACTCACGCGCTGTCAGATGCCCGCTGTGTGTTTGATATGGGGGTGAGTACCGCCTGATTATCTTTGGAGCTCCGGTGGATTTTTAACTGTGGGAATTTCTTGTTGTTATCAGTCATTGTAAGCCATTGTCCTTTTGTTTTCAGGTGGATCTGGGCTTTAACTTGAACATCCTGGACATCGGTGGTGGATTTACTGGCTCAGAGTTTCAACTCAGACAAGTGTGTTAAATTTCTCTGATCTTTTTTTCATTATTAATGTTTCCCTTCAGTTTTGCAGAAAAAAAATTGAATCTGGTCTCAAGTTGTTTTCCTCATTGTTGTTTGTGCAGGTGGAGTCTGCAGTCAGACCGCTGCTGGACGCTTACTTTCCACCACTGTCTGGTGTTCAAGTGTTGGCTCAGCCAGGCACCTTTTATGTGGCTTCAGCGTTCAGCCTCGCTGTTAATGTGATTGGGAAAAAGATGGTGACGTGCCACTGGGACAGTCTAACACAGGGTGAGTTGTGTAATTCGTTTTTCTCACCCTCCTTCTCTCTCTAGTCCAGATACAGGCAGTCATAACTGACCTGACAGCACTTCCTAGAGAATGATCTACTTTTGTGAAGTTGTTACTCACTGTGTTAACAGGTGACAACAATGAAGACACAGAGTTTCTGTACTACATGAATGAAGGTGTTTATGGTCCATTCAGCTGCAAGCTCCTGGGAAACTCTATCGCTGCCCCTTCAGTGCACAAGGTTAGTAAGTCAGTGAGTCAGCCCCATTCACAGCAGCCTGAGATCTGATCATCTGATTGCAGCCTAAGTTAGTTCATGTATTATGAACATTAAAAAGGCAGCAGCTGAATTTGACTGCAGACTGTACTGAATAATAAACTAACCCTACAGAGAATCTGTTTTTTGTCATACAGAGGGGAGACGTTTGGTGGGAAAAATCAGTAGAATGTAGGTCAGTAGTTGAAACAGTCAGGGGAAAAAACAGTGTTTCTTTAAAACCGGTTGTCTTCTTCTGCCAGATTAGATTTTTGTCTAAAATTCCAAAGACATTGTAGATTTAATTTAATTATTCCTTCCTTCAGCATGTGCTGTGTGCTGAGGAGACGGCCTATCCCAGCAGCCTCTGTGGCCCGTCCTTAGACGACCTGGACCAGGTGGTGGAGCGGTGCCTCTTGCCTGAACTTAGCGTGGGTGACTGGCTTCTGTTTTCCAACATGGGAGCTTATAGTCTGGAGGAGTCAATCTGCCTCTCTGACTCTCACCAGCTGCCCATCTACTACACTGTGTCCACCTCTGACTGGTGAGTCCACGGCCAGTCAGCCTGGAGAGTTTTCATCGACAGGTTTCTGTTATATGGAAAGGTTCTCACAAAGATCTTGTCCTATTATTTGGGTTTGCTTTCAGGTACGAAATGCAGGAGGCTGGTGTCGCCCTGGACAGTACCATGAAGAACGTCTCCATGGTCCACTACAGTGCGTAAATGGCCCTCTGGCTCCGTCCCATATAGTATTGCACAGATCCTCCTTAGCCTGTCCTTTGACCATGCGTGCTGAGGGGTCAGCATGGTAATTAGGACGAGGGGCTAAATGTGGTCAACATTCCAACCACCTTGGGAAAATGATGTGTCCTATTAATTCTTCCAGGAATTGGGCTTTTTTTCACCTTTAGAAATGGTAAACAATTGGTAGTTTAAGAAGCAGTTGTAGAGTTTATATTTCTGGAAGATGGTCTTTAGTTCTACTCCTCCCTCTGAATTCAGATTTTGTCAGCTCAAAGAACTCTGGCCCAAGCTCAGATGACGTATGCAACAAAATGGACGACTCTATGGAGATGGAACCCCGCCCCCCCCCCCAACATGTTTGGGTTGGGTTTTGTTTCCCTGATTTAAAAATAAAGATCTGGTTTACAAAATGTACAATTGATTTAAGTCATGCTCTTCATCGATCACTTGTTGACAGTCGTGTAAATCCTGTATCTTTTCAACACAATGCATTTTTGTCTGTAGGAGACTTGAAGAAATAATCGACGCTCGGTGTAGAATCTGTATTTCAGACGTCTCACTTTGCAGAGTTTAAATGAAACGATGACAATGATGTATCAGTTTTCTTCATTGCAGTTCACCTCGATGCTTTTTTCTATTTATTAGATTCCGATTTTACTGGGTCACACTTCAGACCCGTGTTTGTGTGTTCAGCCCAGGTATTATGCTGTGGCCCATCTACCAGTGTTTTCAGGATTAAAATATCAATGTGTTTTTTTTTTTTGTTGTTGTTTTTTTTAATGCTACATTGATATAAGTGTGCTGTGATTGTCATTAGTGACCTCAGTGGTTTCCCTTTACTCAAATGGCTTGAAGGATTGCAGGGGGATTTTCTTCACACTGAGTAAGAGCTTAAGTACAGACGTGCTTCGCACACGCTAACACTTCGTGTGTCTTCTAGACAGGTTTATCTGGTTGCACGTGCACAAAGTCTTTTCTAGGTAAAAGAAATACTGACACTCACCAATGCAGACTCTTGAGCTCTTCATATCAGTGTCTCCTGCCAAGGAATTGTTTTCTCTGATCTGAAAAACCAGCAAATTTTTAATTCATTGTCAAATTGCAACTGAGTGAAAGTGTGTATGACACTGGCCTCTCTGAAGATGACTTTAAATTTTTCTCATTATCTCTAAATTCACCCTTGGACAACATTCATTCACTGTCACAGTAAATTCCATGTCTAATGTTAGAGGTTACTGATGTAACTGCAATATTTAAAAGAAATCTGCCCGCGTGTTGAAATTATTAATGTATTAATGACATCCTTGTCTAAGGCACTAATGGACCATAGCCTGTTTTAAATGTAAATTGTGCTTGTTAAAGTAATGAAAGTGATTAATTTAATACATTTCTGATTGAAATCACTCTCTTGTGTCTGTGTGTTCTGTGGGTTGGGACAGTGAACTACCTTGGGGGTTTTTTTAGGTTTCTTAACATAAAAGTTGATTAAACTAATAATTTCCTTCCGTGTGTGCCCTCCATTATAGTAGGGGCAGTGGTGAAGGAAGAGGACTTGGGTCTGAAAGGCTTCAGGTTCGAGTCCATCAGCTGCCAAGTCACCACTGAGGTGCTTTGAGCATGGCACTGTCCCACACTCTGCTGCCCACTGTTCACTTTGGTGATGGGTTAAATGCAGAGGTCACATCTGGTTGTGTGCAGTGGTGTGCTGTCACAATGACAAATGGTTCACTTTCCTTTACCCTATCTGTGCATTGCTGCCACCCATGGGCCAACTTTTCATTGGTCAATTTTTTTCAAGCCTTAAATTGATATTGAACTTTATTTGTCTCTGGTTGTCTTACATTAGAAGTAGAGCCAACAGAAATGTGAGGAGAGGCAAATCTCAGTAAAAACCCCAGGCCAGTAGAACACTAACTGTCAGCAGTAAACATTTGGAACCGGCTGCCTCTCAACACAAAGCTAATGTTTCCTTTATTATTAAAGCTGAATATAACTGTCACTGAGAGCTGCTGCAGTGACAGATGACTCACCAGTATCACCAGCAATGTCAGGGGAATGACTTACCCAAGAGTAATAACCGTAGCTCCTATCAAGTGGTACACATAAGTATTTTAGTTTTATACCTTGAAACTGTACTGTGATTATAAATACATTTTAATAAAATACATAAAAATATATAAAAAGTCATGTTGATTTAAATATTTACCTGAAGAAACTATATAGAACACATAACAGAAAAGAGTACACATGAGATCATTTGGTCAGTAAATGTCACCATTCCGTATACCAAAAGAGTTTGTATACCGTATCTTCACCACTACTTGTTGCTAAACCTCACATGTTTCAGCTTTAAACTTAAGGGTCTTTAGGTGATACACCTCTGAACGTTTTCATTGTGATTCTAAATATGGCCTCTCTGATTGGTCTGATTACATAGTGTTTTTCTACTAAATGTCCACTTACCAGTGATGAGTGTTTTTCCAGATGATGAAATCTCGGGACAACAAAGGACGGCACAATTAGCTTCAGCACAAAACCATATGACCGTTTCCTCCATCTAAAAAAAAATAAAATAAAATAATCATGGATAACTGTCTCACTGTGTCACTCTAGACACAAAATTGCTTGCTTCAAATTATAAGGATAAGGTTTAGATAACTCGGCCTTCATATGTCAAACATCTTTTATGAAGCAATCACAACATAAACCAGTCCAGTTATAATTAATAATATAATAAACTTGATAATTTGAAACCTTGTCTGAGTTATTACTGAGTTACAAGTCAACAATACTCCAGCAGGGGTCAAAACTAAAGTTGTCAAGATTAAATATGTACTTGTTTGGTATCTTTGGTAAGATAAAGATTTCCGGTCGCTAGTGTTCTATGATTACCATGAGGTTGGTTAGTCATTTCCTCTGACTGGAATACAACAGTACTGCAACTACTACATTAGGTTAGCTAAATAAATTAGGGAAAAAAGATCAAGTACTCGTCGGGGGATTTGGGACCTTGGTATGCAGGTGTAAATACAAGTTTCTACCAGAGGTAATAACCAATTATTTGTTATTAATTAGCAACTTCTTTATTACTCTTTAAACACTGTCCGATTGGACAATGACTCTATGCTGTTAGTCACATAATTAGCAAATTAAGTGCTAATTTTGACTTCTTTTTTTTTTTTACATCAGGCTAATGCTCATCTAATACATTTGTTGATACGCTAGACAAACAAAGCTAACAATTTGCGATTTAGACTTCTGGATTATGGCCTCTACTTAGGTCAAAGTAAACCTGCGGTGTTTGTTAGGAAGCGGAACATGTGAAAGAGTACGTGTTAATTACTAGGTCATTATTACAATCTGAAGTTATTAGCTGTTTACCACTAGCCATTTTTCAATTGTTGAACATTTTCAAGTACAAGCAACGCTGCAATGCTAGCTCAATATTTTCTAACCCATTACCCCTCTGCCTATGAAAATGGTGGGTGACTGTAATTGGCTAGAAAATGGCATGATATGACATCAGAATAAAAAGGCCCGCCCATTTAGCTCATTTCCTCGACAGCCTATTGGCTAATCTGGGGCTGTGTCACATGACTTCTAGGAGTTGTCGCTGTAGCCACGCCCAGTTGCCTAGCTATGCGCAGTGTCAGCCCAAAATCCAATCAACAAGTCTCCATTTACCGGAAAATGTTAAAGTGGGCGATGAGGCAGAACACCTGGGCAGCCGGAAATGTGTCTCAGAGTGCTGAGACGAGTGTAAAAAGTTATTGAGTTTTTAGGCCCGGACGCCTCCTATTGGTCAGTTTGGGCTGCATGCAAATGAGGGCGGCTACGTCAGATCCTGAACTTAAGCGCCATTTTTTCCTCAATAGGAGGAAGAAAAGGGACAAAAGCTTGAACGACAATAAGTTGAGTCACTACGCGTTTGAAAATATTGCCGTTCGAATCATCACGCGTTCCCCCCGCTCTCGGTGGGTGTGGATGGAAGATGCTGTGTAAATGAGCGTGTGCGTGCGCAGCGTTAGTGGCAGACGTACCCTCTAGGTACACACACACACTAACCCACAAACACGCATATTTATATATATATATATATATATACACAGAGACCGAGAGTTGAGGACCGGAGGAGGACAACGCTTAAGCTGCCAGAGGAGACACAGCTATTACCGACTTGCAGTAGAAACATCGAGGTGAGTGTTAGGGGTGTGAGGAGGGTGAGGGCATCCTCCTGGAGGAGGCGTGCGTCTGAGAAATGGGACTTTGACGAGGAATAAATACACAGAGCACAGTTAGCATGGATGCTGGAGTGTTTACACGCCGAGGTTAACTCTGCATGTGATTTACTAGAACAGTCTCTGCCTCAGTCCTGATATTTTAAATATTAGTTTATTTTGACCAGTTGTAGAAATCCACCAAATCATCCCAAATGTATTAACATTACCAGGACACTTAAACACGCAGAAACCCAATTCTTTGAAACCAAATTGCCCATCCTCAATTTGTCTTTAAACCAGGCTAATCTACTGCTCTTGTGCTGTATTCCATGTTATACACTTATATGCATTTTAAAATATATATACGTACATACATTACATTTTTTTTAAAGATCCACTTGACAAACAACCACTAGTGCACATTCTAAGAGGAACATTGTAAGTTCTTACTTTTTTTTTTGAATAGGTAATTCGCTTTTGTCCCCTGAGGGTGGCGCCATAAACATAGCCATATATAATCCAGGTAATGATAAGGTATGTATTTACATGTATTTTCTGTTAACAGGTCAGTGAGGTATAATGTATCAGCTTCCAGTTGGAAATATTGAGAAAATCAGACGAGCACGCAAAGCGGTGAAAAATGTCCTGGGTGAAATAGGCCTGGAAGACTGTCAAAACCTACTGAAGGTAAGAAGAGCTGTTCCAGCTGCAAATGTTTCAACAAATATGAAACGTGGGTCAGACCCTTACCTCGGCTGTGTGCAAAGTTTGTTTTTCATGAACTTACAGTAATTAGTTTAAATGTTTTAATTGGAGGTGATATCTGTTATGTTTAAATGGGGTATTGATTAGTAGCATTTGATCAAATGCAGTTACTATTCAATTTCTTTAATGTTTGTTGGTAATTTTTTCCCCTCTGAAAACATGAATTTTCATGGTTATTTATTGAAGTTAGCCATACAGAGTTTTTCTGCTTCAGTGGTTATGACAACTGGGGGTTGGCCAAAGTCTGAGCTCCAGATTGGAACCATCCAGTTGTATTTTGCAAGCATTTCTGTGAGTGCAGCCTATTTCACAACTAGAGTACAGTGCAGTGTGAACATTTTTACACTTCATAATTTCTGGTAAGGAACAACGTCTCAAATGTTTGAGGTAGACATCAAAATCATTATCAGTAAAATTGGATAAATAAGATTTATATTTACTAGAAATAAAGTTTTGAAAGTTTTTGTTCACTGCACAGGATCTCAGTGAAAATGATGACAAAGGTAAAGAAGAAGACGACGAGGCCTTTCAGGAAACTGAATGGAATGATTTTACCAATAGCTACGGGACAAGAATGTATAAGAAGGTGAATATAAAACTGTCTTCATCTTTATATCAACTTATAATTTATTAATAACGTATTTTTTACAACCTTAGCTTTCAGAGAATATTATTCTAAGCTCTAAAAAAAATTATCTCCACTATTTCTCTGTTTTGTTTGTTTTTGATCAGTGGCCTTATCGACGCCGGGCTCTGTGCTGCAGCATGTGCAAGTACTCAACACAAACCCTCAACAATTTCACCAATCATGTTACTCGCCACCATGGAAATCTCCAGCCTCTCTGCTCCTTGGCGACCTGTTCTCAATGCGTGTTCGTTGGCACACCCAAGGTTGTCAAGAAGCACATGCTCCTGTTCCATTCCAAACCCACGCCAACAGCACAGCCACAAAGGGAAGCCGCATCAACCACACATCATAGCATCCAGAGGTATCAGTGTCGCCGATGTGGACTACCAAGTTCATCCTTGCTTGTGATGAAAAAGCACGTTATTCTCAGACACTTGAACAATTTGGCAGAGCAGTACATAGGCTACAGGATGAATCGTCAAGGACTCACTCGAACAAAGATCTACTGCTGCAAAGTGTGCAGGGTTAACACAGGAAATATAGATCACATGTTGCGTCACTTGCTGGTGGAGCCGTCCCATTACGCATTCAGCTCACAGGTCCAAGGCCTGATTTACGAGAATAAGAACTACACGGTGAAATCAGCACCGAACGGAGAAGGTTTGTTTGTGACTTTACCAAACATCGCTCCTAAACCACAACAGGCCCAGATAATCAACAGTAAACCTTTGTTGATACCCAGTAACGGTCAAGCTGCTGGGACTGTGGTAACATTACAGCAGCTTCAAGGAGCTGCAAATGGAACTGCACTCATTTGTGCTCCTGGAACCAATCAAACTTTTCTGCCCCCTCAAGCGTCAGCGCTAGTACAGCTAGCTAGTGCTGAGGCCAAAGGCCTGCTTCAGCCTGGTGCAACCATAGCCCTGAGAGGAACCTTATCTCAAGGAACATCTGTAGTGCAAATCCCTACCGCTTCAAATGTGGCCCTCAAAACAACTCCACTGACTCTAGCGCCTCCTGTGGTTCAACAACAACAGCTAGTCCCTCCACCACAGCAAATCCTTATACCATCAAAAGTGAATGCTAACACAACAGTGGTGGCTGGAAGTGAACCTAAGGCTTTGGTTATGAGGCAAAATGTACCCACAAGTCAAGTCAGCCTTCAAGGCACCATGATGACCTCACAGTCCCTGCTGACTCACCTGATCCCAACGGGCAACAAGGTGAACGGGATGCCCACGTACACTTTTGCTCCACTCCAAGCACCGCTGCGTTATGCTCAGAGCACCGGTACACCTCTGAAAGCTGTGGAGCAGACGAGCAACTCCCAACCCCAGACAAAGAAATGGATTACTTGTCCCCTCTGTAACGAACTTTTCCCTTCTAATGTGTATGATATTCACACAGAGGTCGCCCATCAGACCAAAAACTCCTCAACTAACTCTGAAAGCGTGGCGGCACGGGCAGCATTTCTCAAGAAGATGCCTGACAAAACTGTCAAATGCC